CTTTTGGCACACTGCAGAGAAAATGTTCCTGAAGTTCCCTTGGTCTGACTTTAATGTACAATATCCACAAATCTCGCCAGTTCTTTTATTTACATTTGACTGAGATCTCGAAGGAATGAGAGTGTCGAAGTAAAAAAAGCCTGGTTTGGTGGCACTATAGTACAAAGGCGAATTTGTTGCACTTGGTTTTTTTAAGTGGGCTAACTCTGTTCCAGGTATAATTGCCCCCAAATGATAATGCTGATCATAGAAATACGCAACGCTCGGCTATGCAACAAAACAATGAAAGTACATCATCTCTGATGGCCTCTTTCCCACTGTTCTTCAGCCATTGCAGCGAATATAACGTAATTGTATCGAACAAACCACTTTCCACAGAGAAGCGTGTTAACCCCTTACACAATCTGCTAAAGAGACCATCAGATATGACTAAATAGTTTGAGAGACAATTTTAACAGGCCGTGTGACAAATGTGATGCTTAGGGCTTGGTTGCTCAGATGGAGCAATTTCTTTTTGAGGATATATAAAACCCAGGGCTCCACAGGCAAGGGAAGAAAATACACCAGCCCAGCCAGCAGAAGACATATCGGTGACAAGAAATCAATGGCAGGTTCAGAATTCGTGAACTTCAGCGCTCGCTGAAACATTAAAGTTTGTCGGTTACATGCAAAACGCCGCTGGCTCAGAACTGCTTTTGTAAACTACGTTCACGCGAAATGCTCCACTTCAAGGTGTCTTCACGAAATTGCACAAAGGACATTTCCTGTAACTCGAGAAACTGAAGGAATCTGAAAGAAAGTTTCAGTTTTCCAAAAATCCCAGTGTTCAGGTGTTTTTTCCTTCCTCTTCCAAGCGAAGCCACGTCTCCTCCCCGCACATTATCTCCACCATTAAAAGCCAATACTAGTTTGAAAGAGAGCTAATTTGAGAGCATTAGGAAAATTACTGCCTCCTTTCTACAGTTAACTCAATGGAAAAGAAGAAAAACACCGATATCTCACGGAGGTGGGAGGGGAGAGAATCTCGCTGAGCATTTCTGGAATATGACATGAAACATGGTAATATTTGCAAAATAAACTCATACTTCATCAGTAGTGCTGAGACTTCTTCTAAAGCGATTTGATGTTTAAAACAATGCAGTCAAACAAGTAAACTTTCGATTGGTATTTAATTGCTATGACTTTATCCCATTACTTCTATGCACTCAGGTAGCTTTGAAGCAATGTTAACACATCCAACTGATATCCCACTAGAAATAGGGCCTGTGTAATAATGTGCAATACAGGCGAACGGGGGGGGGGGATGACAGTATAATATTGAGTTGTATTGCCACGTGCTATACAATGGATCAAGCAGGTTTCTCTCATGGTGTTATAGTTAGGATGAGTTTCTTCATGATTTGATACTCCTCCAACATGTGGAAATTCGGCTACTTTTTTAGATGAGACGTTCAGCCCTTTAAAAAATATTGTTCACTTGAGAGCTAGTGTGGGAGGATGTTTGCACGTTTGACTAAAAAATAAATGCTTTAAATTAGCAAAACTGAAATGTAGTTCTTTGAATCACTTGCAAGAGGCTAAAGGTCAAATGGAACTTTTTTTGCGACGTGGCTGCTCTGCATATCCTGTAACTTTCTTTTCATGAACGCTTTATAACTTTAAGCTTAAACATTGTAGGTAAATACAGTACAGCTCCTAAAGAAAATTGCCTAGAATTAAAAATGCATACAGGAAACATACTAAAACGCTCTACATATTTACCTGGGGTACTGGAATGGTATCTCTCTTCTAGAAGTATTACCGGGCTTGTTAAATGTGCAGATGCTTAGGACACTTTAAACACTATCTAAATATATCTTTATCCAAATGACCAGACTGAATGATCGGGTGCTTTTGAGACAGCAGCACCGCTTTTTACAACCTCAAGGAAAAGTTGGTTTTTTTTAAAAAAAGCAAGTCGGTTAAACATAAAAACTTTTAACTAACATTAAAGGTGAGACAGTCCCTTGATTAAAGGACATTTTGAAAGAGGGCGGAGATGGGGATTTTAGGACGTGCTTTTAGAAGGCAGCCCGAGAATGAGCGTGCGAATTTTACCTTTCTTTGTTGGTGTCAGAACCTGACGTTTATTCAAGTATGTTTTCACAACCTGTATAGGCAATTTCCCCCTGTTTGAACTTTCCTGTTAATTAGGCTTCAGAACTAACTACTAAGAGCGCTGTTGTGCAAAGCCAACGTTTAATCACTTCTCTGGCGGGGGTCTTACAGCCAAAGGTGACAAGATGCCTTTGGGGTCCGATGCCAAGAGAAGAAGGCGAGCTGTTAAAGTAACAAACCCCGCTGCTGAGTTGCTCCTTCAAGTGGATTGGGCGCAGGGGCCTTTCCTTACCAGGGGCTTCCATGCTGGGGCCCGATCCTGCTCCCAATGGTCAAACTCTCATTGATGTAGCCTGCAGCAGGCAGCCTGCCCTTAGGCTAAGCGCTTTCCCAGCAGTACCACAGGTATTCTTCAGCACAGTCACCAGGCTAGGCCATCCCCTGTTAACACTTAGATCGACCCTATTGTCTCATGGGGCTCTGGCTGCTAACTAAGCCTTCTAGCAGGCCCTGGGCTGTGTGGAGAATATCAGGCTATTTAAGGCTGGTACCGCAATATTCATTAAAAAGCGCAGCAGAATCAAGGAGTCAGTCCACCTACAGTCAGAAACGAACAACATTCAATGCGAACATTGTTCCATCAGAACTAGCCATTATTTTTTCCCTCTGTGAAACTGAGCCGAGTTCTGTAGATGCCTTAATGTTGTTTAGTGGGTACGGTGTCCTTATACAGGCCTTAAGGCCGAATTCTGCCCTCACGTGGGACACGTGTAACCTCATTAAGGGAGAGCAGAGTTTATGCCCTGGGTAAACCAGTGGGGCAGAATCTATCCCTCAAAAAGTCCAGACCTTTAAATAAAGATATCTGGGGAAAACTCAATGGGTCTGATCCTCAACTGGTATAAATGAGAGTAGCTCCACTGAAGTCAAGTAAGTGTCGCCAATTTATAGAGGATCTGACCCCCTATTATTATAGCGTGGCCATTTGTTCACTAGTAGTATCCCTGAAAGAGAGGGGCCTGATTCTGGTCTCATTCCAATATAAATCAGGAGCAACGCTATTAGCGGAATGAATTTACATGGGCGTGAGATCAGAATCACCTCCAGTTAGCGGCTGTTCAAAATCAATTACTTCTGCGTTTGGTTAACTCTTGTCACTCTCTGACTAGACCAGCGCGTGCTGTGGAAGCTATCAAAAGAAGAAATCGGATCGTTGGCAAAACGGGTGTTGACTGGCTGTAACTTTTAGGAAAAGTATCCAGGCCATTCTTACTGCATCTCTAACCCTACTGATCTCGCTCGTTCTCTCCGTCTTAGCAAGAGGGGAGAGTTGGGAGGTGCCGAACAAATCAGTTTCAATTTGTCTTCACACAGAGCGCATCAGCCCAACACAAGGCCGATCACATTAAGTGGACCAGGTTTCATTTTTCAATCTTCTGGTGTAATGCAGGAAAATTGCAACTGAAATAGTACAACGTACTTCTCAGGAGGTGGATCAAAATTACTGTGAGCCAAGAGCAATGGCAAAAATAAACAAACAAATAAATAAATAGCAGAACGGCCGATTTTCTGGGGTCAGTTTACTGAGCGGAAAATAAAAGCGATTAATCTTCCCCTCACTCCCCCAAAAAAATCTTGCCTGACAATCCGTGCGGTTTCCTTACTCTGCGAGGCATTTCATGATCGGTGTACTTTATAATTTACACACTGTCCCTTACAACACGAGCTACTATTTTTAATAGAGTGTAGACTAAAGGATGCCAATTTCAGCTTCAACTGCTCGGGCGGAATCCCTGGGACATTCCTCATGCCCAGAATCCATTCATAAGGAAGAGAGACTGAGAAACTGACATGAGCATTCGAATGGCGAGGCTGCAGTCACCCCACAGCTCCACTCGCGGGCACATAATTAGAATTTCTATACTTTTGAATAAAAAAAACATTTCAGAATATTGCTACTAATACCAATATGGCCACCCGCTGAGATGAACCTCTAAAGCAGTCACACAGCTGCGAGGCTTTTGAACTGTATAACGGATTAGACACATAATCTCACCTAAACACGCCAAGCCTGGAAAGGAGAAACTGCCCAGACGCGTCGTGTTGTGTTAAGGTCATAACCCCCCTTCCTAGTTTACTGCACGTTGACTTCTGAGTGGTAAAAGCTCACGCGCCTGCCTGCATATTAAACGTAACACACGGTCTGAGAAACAGTCCTTCCTTTGCCATTTGCTTTCCCCTGGGCGGGAGTTGAGAGCACCCTCTATAAATTAGAAAACGGCATTTTAATAACAGTTTAAGAATGACAAGAAAGGTGAAAAAGGAGTGAATCCTATCTCCGAGCAGCGCCGCCGCAATTGCCTCTTTTACTATATAGCATTTTCATACCCAGTATTATTCTTTACCTGCCTTACACTATAACCGTGGCTCTGTCACACTAGCAACAGCAGAGGCAGAAGGGCACACAACTGCAGTAGCAGGCTGACAAGTGTGATAAAATGATCTTCCTTAACTAAACTCGTAAAGCACTGGGCAATAAAACTCAATCTTCTGTAAAATCCAATTAAGTCATTATCTGACTGATTGTATCTTTAATTGAAAACAGAAGTGACAGTAAATTTCTGTGATATATCAGGATCAATCGATACCACTATACGATTCAGCCTCAAGAAGTGATTTATAATGTCAAACCTATATAGGTAACTCCACATTATTCTCTCTAAAACCACTGGTGGATGAAATTAAGAGTAAGTGCATTTAATAAAAAACAAGATGGTCAGGTTATTGATTACAACAGATGGGGGTGAAATCAAATAGATGTTTTCAAAGCACAGAGCGAAGAAAATACAAGTAATTTCTTTTTTTCTGTTTAATACAGCTCACCAAATATACACACAAGAAAATTCAGTCATCAATAACATTTTTATTTCAGGTACAGCTGCAACTACAGAGAACAATGAATTTTTCTAGACTAGTTTCATTTCAGGTTGGCTTCTGTAACACAAGGCGAGTACACCATAAGCAATTTTTAACAAAATAAACAAACAAATCCGTAGTAACTTTTAAAAAGACATTTACTTGCAATTTAGATTGCAAGCTAATGGAATATACTCAACTGTAATATGCAAAATGTTAATTTTATGCCATTAGTAAGTGTATAGTAGCATTATCCTATAAAGAACTTCCAAGAATGCTTCATAAAAGATTATTTTTTAAAAAATGATTTATCAGTCATCCTCTCTTGCTACTTCTAAAAAAAACCCCCAAAAACAAAACAAAAAAAACACCCAGAAAAAGTGGTCAGTTTCTTAAGAGAACTACTATCACTTCTCTTTAGGATTCTTTATTTTGAATCGGTTCTGTAATTGACAGTCCATGAACGCAAACTGTTTTTTTTTTCCGCGGGGGGAGGGAGAGTTGATGCAAAATATTTTGTAACTTTACTTTGTATCTTAGCAAATTAAAGTAATTTCTACCAAAAAAAAAAAAAAGGCTGTGTCTATTCATCTTGCTTTCAGTCACTGGTTAGGGATTTAGTTGACCTGTTTTACATTATAGCATTCTTGTGTATGCAAACTGGAACCAAAACCCCCAAGGGTTCTAACATTTCATCTGAACTTTGATTATATTTTATTCATGCCACAATCCAGGACTTTACTAAAGAATAGTTTACTGAGTGTAGATTTAGTAAGGAGAATTACTGCATTAACACCGAGCGTAAAATACCTAACCTGCACTGCAGTCGGTGAAGCTCTGGTCCCTAAACTGTTATAGGAATGTAAGTCTTTGGTCATTATAATACAAGTCTGAAAAGAATAAACCAAACATTTTTTTTTCAATGGTTACTTCAGCATCAGTCAATGCAAAACAGGCAAACAAACAACATTATAACAGAATGCACTTGATCTCCTGAATAAAGTAGAGATGTGGGGCTGAATTTTGCTTATTCGCCATCTTCTATGACAGAATTAACAGTGAAGGTGCCAGACTCAGAGGCAGACTCACACTCCAGTACTCCTTTGGTGCTTTCATTGCTGATAGGAGAGCTGCTGGAAAGGGAAATTAAGCCAGAATCTTGACTGCTGGGTGGTGAAAATACTGGAGAGGAAATAGAATGAGTGGGATATTAACAGATTAATTGGAACAAATGGGAAAGGAGGACCTTCAGCACCTGAGAGGATGGGGCCCTAGGGAGGCACCCCTCCTTGCACACAACCACAGGCCCAACAAAACAGCACTAATAGTAATTTGGACACAATGGTAGGTTTGATTTAAAAAAACAAAGCTTTGGGATCCTGTGCACTCCCCCCTGCTGTTCTAGACAGGCCCAAATAACTCTTATCCCAGGACAAAGGGGGGGGGGACAAATCTATTTGGGAAACAGCCAAATGAGCACTTCTACAACCTTTTGTACAGCTTTCTGTAGTATTTACATCTATTGAGGGTACCAGCGTATTGGGACACAATCATCCCTCTACAACACTGAGCCAAGGCAGAACCCACTGCTGGAGAGTGGGAAAGAGATAAGGAACAAGGATCTTGGGACATCTGCTGGTTTATGGCACTGTACCTCCTCTTCCTACTCCACTAGGGAGAAGACTCTGCCCTCCGATGGAAAGAGGAGGTCTAGAGACAAGGGCTAGAGACTCCAAGAAGTCCACTAGGGATGCTGCCATGCTAATTTAGTTAGCAAGGGAGGCCCTCAAACACTACTGTATGGTGAGGGTGCCACTATAATCTCCTGAACTGGAAGGAAATTTACATTTCCCTGGCTCATATGTTGGATTTTCCTGCATGGGGAGAATACAACCTATTATATAACTATGGAAGTCAGGGGGTGTGAACAGAGTCACATCTAAAACCAAGGGGCATGAGGGAGAATAATGAGGGGGATTAATATAGTATTAAGCAATAAAATAAGAATTTAAGGAGCATGGGAATTAAAGCTGTAACTAAAACAAACATCCAGTCTCAAGAGCTAAAACTGCAAGATACTTGAATATTAAGAATTTCAGAATATAGGGCTGGGTTGGAAATATTTGCAACATTACAATTCACAGTAGATACAAAAACCAAGTAAAAGGGTCTCTGACCTTCTTAACCTTAGATGAGTTGAGATCCACCCACAGCACTCCCTTCCTGCCTAGCGAGAAGGTAATTAAGGGGAAGCTGCAGTGGTAATTTCTCTCCTCATTAACTTCCTGATTGGTTTCAAGCTCAGAATTCCATCGGGCTGCAGTTTGTCACCAATTCCAAATAGCCAATCGTTAATACTAATGTTTGTGTAACTAACTGCCAGCATTTACCATGGCTTCTTGTACAACAATAATGGTGAAAGGGTAACATTAGTGCTCCTGTGTTAATTCAGATTCTGTTCATCAATAAGGAATTCTATGATGTAATTAGCAAAATGCATTGGTAGTTGAGTGTTAGTCATTTTTAGAAAACTAATTCACAGCAGAAGCTGAATGCCCCCCCCGACATGTTAACCATCAATACTTATGTTCTGAATGTTTAGGATTTAGTGGAGAATGTTCCCAGGCTGAGCTCTTTTAAAAAGAGAATACAGTTTACAATCATTGTTTTTTAGAAGCTGATTAACACTGCATTCCTTGTTCTTGTGTGGTTCTAGATTAAAGTTTAAACTCCATCCTTAAACCACCCTGGTATGCCTAGGTAAGCAGTACCTACCGGGTCACTGAATGTTTGCAGACTTCTGAAATGTCTAGTAACTATGGAAGCTAAATTAAAGAGAATGGGCTGGATTTTGCGGTCACTTACAGGAATGAAAATCCAGAGGAACTCCGAGTTTAGTGAAGGTAATCTGAAGTACACTAGTGTGACTGGGAGCAGAATGCGGTCCCCTGTCTTTAGATACCTCTGAATTTTCCAGCTTCTGTGGGTTAATAGATATCTGATCACAGGGTTTCTTTTGCAGTTCAATTTCTTGTGTTTTGTTTTTATAGGATCATAATCATTAGAGATGAAAAATATGCTATGGGCTTGGTCCTCTTTTCCTTTACACTTGTTATACAGCAGTGTAACTCCATTAAGCCAAATTCTATGACAGTGTAAAACTGCCACCTCCATTGACTTCAGTGGAGTTTTGCCCATTTATGCCATCAGAGAATTTGACACACTGAGTTACTCCCAATTTACTTCGGTGTACGTAAGAGGCAAGTTAGACTTTAGTTCTTTTGAGTTCATCATCCTGCAAGGACAGGATATAGAATCAGATTTTCTTCACCTTTGTCTTGTCCCGTTACTCAGGGTCAGCAGTTCTTATTCCAAGTGTTCCTGTCAAGTACGCCTTTCATGTTCTCCTTCAGGATCTTGAACAACTTTCTTCTGAGTCCTCCTTGTGGTCTTTGTCCCGTGACTGCTAGATCTTGTACTTCTGGCCAACATATCCCACATCTCATTGTCTATGTGATCCAACCATCTCAGTCAATACTCTCTCAACAATTCCATGATGGGGCTTACCTGTATCATGATTCGTACTGACTTTAACTGCATAGCCTATCTGTTCTCGTCTTACCCAGCATCCACCTGAGCATTCTCATTTCAGCAGGGTGATAGAATTGTTCACCTTCTTCCTCATTACCCAGCATTCTGACCTGTATGCCATAGCTGGCCTAATCATGCTCTTATAGATTTTGCTCTTTGGTTTACTTAGCATAGTTTTATTAGAGAATTCACATAAATTTTCTCCAGCCATCCTTCATTCAATTCTTAACCTACACATACCTAGATTCAGCTATGATGGGAATCTGAATTATTGCACAGATTTTAACTCTATACTATCCAGTTTTACTGGCTTCTCCTTATACCTTTCAACAAAATATCACATGTAGTCTGTCTTTTGTCGGCCATTTATGATGCAGAATATAGAACCAGATATTAAACTGATCTAGTGAACAGAATAGTATGTATTATCACAGAATGAACCACATGTTAAATTAATCCTATATCTGCTTAATTAGATTTTATACTGAGACTACATTATTTTCTTCACCTTTTAGCTAAGATCAAGTGTATTTCATTTTAGTGGGAATACTAAAATAGGCAAAGGATGGCGTTGGAGGCATTTAGGTATCCTGTGAATGAATATTAAAATTAGCATAGTGACATACAGATAAAGGGAACGTCTAACAGTAGGACTGGTGCTGGTGACTGGTGCATCCTGGTTCACAAAAATGCACTCCTCTCCTGGCTGGTCAACCTTTCACTTAGTCTGGTGCACAGATTTTCACAGTTCAGCTTTGTTTATCTGAAATGTTTTGAAGTGGGGTGTTTTTGTGACGTGGCTAGTGCCTAATACCAATTGGAGTTTGAATGAAATGAATCTTAGCCAGCTAGCCCTCAAACATGTAGGGTAGAGGAAGCAATTGGAGGAACTGACAGAGGTTATTTCAGCTCCCTTGTTGGGGAGAGTAAGCTTACGTTTAGTGACACAGGTTCACAACTTGGTTATTCTGTTGGATGCCCAGCTAGTTCTGGATGACCAGGTCCTAAGAGCCATGACTGCTTTCTATCATTTATACTCATCCAGAAAGCTGAACCCTTTTCTATAGGATGAAAAACCTGTTACAAATGATCCTTGCCTTTGTTACCTTGAAATGGTATTACTGCAATGCCCACTAGATGGATCTACACCTGAAAACCACTGGCAACTTCAACTGGTGTGGAATGTAGTGGCTTGCTCATTTAGAGATGCTTTTCGCAGGAGGCACATTAAAGAATCATAGAATATTAGGGTTGGACAAACCTCAAGAGTCATCTAGTCCAAACCCCTGCTCAAAGCAGGACCAACACCAACTAAATCATCCCAGCCAGGGCTTTTGTCAAGCTGGCCTTAAAAACCTCTAAGGTTTTTTTGCACCTGTGCTCCAGGAATTGCACTAGCTTCCAATTTGTTGAGTGCAATTTAAGGTCTTGATTTTGACCCACGGTTTGGTAAAATCTGACTACTTGTGAAAATGCTTCTCTCCTCACAGGCTGGCTGATGATGTAAGTTGAGATGCTCCTCTGGTTTAAAGAGGGGTGATTGGCCAGGGATCAGCCCTTGATTTTGAAACTTGGTTGCCTCCCTCCTTGTTCCAGAAGAGCCCAGGACATGTTGTAAGGAACATCTATTTTCCCAGACTCTGGAGAAGAGCATGAGTTATGAAGGGGGGTAACTGAGTTAAGGGGGAAACATTTTTGTTTATTCCCGAATAGCTGAATGTGTGAGAAGTTTATTTGTTAGGATTTGTAAATAGTTTTAGTGGTCATGTTCCTAGAATGACGGAGAGGCCCAATTCTTAAATACTGAAATCCATAAATTTCAATGACAAACTTTCAAAAAGTTTACAAAAAATCTCGTCCTACCCCTGTTGTGGTAAATGTTAAAATGTGGTAAATGTTAAAAAACATTAGGTATTAAAGCTGTATCTATGTTGTATTGCATATTGACCCACATTTGCAAACACCTGGAATTCTAATGAAACCGAGGCTAAAAATTTTCAGATATGGGTCTCTAAAGTTAGGCATTGAAATCCATATCTAAACACTACATAAAAGTGGTCTGACTTCGACTGAAATCAAAGGTGCAAATGCTCAGTACTTTTGGAAATCAGGCTGTTTATGTTGATACCTAAATGTGGTTTAGGTATCTAACTTTAGTCATAGGTTTGACAGATATTGGTCTTAGCAGCACATAGTTACTGTCCCTGGCATATGACAAAGCTTCCAGAGGCCCAATCCTGTACTCCTTTTCTCAGGCAAACGCCCCCTGAAGTCAGTGTAGTCAATGAGATATTGTGCCCAAGTAAGGAGGGCAGGACAAGTGCATTGATGATAATGGGAACTGTAAACAAGGTCTGTGAGCAGTACACAACCTTAAGATTAAGAGTCAGCAAAACAGAAACCTACATTTCTTTGCTGTTCTATTAAAGATCCAATAGCAGAAATGTCTAAGTCCATCGTGTTCAAAGAAGCAAACCTACGGTGTCTTTCATTAAAGCTTTAATTTTAAGATGTGGCTGATTCTACAGTCCTCATACAACTGAGTATTCCTTACTCACGACATGTGAAAGGATTACTTGTATGACTAACCG